TAAGGCGTTGGTCATTCAGGGCTTTGGAAGGGAGCTCAGGGTGACCTCAAGAGCATCGCCCTGATTCCAAGAGGTCTGGATGTGGGAGCCAGACCAGGGGACTGAGGGTGGGACCCCCCAGGGCCGACCCTGTTCTGAGAAACTTGGCTTTGCATCAGTATTCACACACACCCTTGAGCATAAGTTCATAGACAGTACGGGGTGGTAGGGTCTGCAGTCCTGTAGCCCAGAGTCTCTTCATTTTGTATGTGTATTAGAGTCTGGGCTAAGCAACCCCCCTGAGCAGTGACTTAAATGATAGTTAATTTTTTCATGTAAAATCCAGATTTTTTCATGTAAAATCCAGAGGTGATGATTCACCCTAAATGCAAGAGTCTGGGAAAATAACTGTGTCCTCTGAGTCTATAGGATTATAGGGTTGATTCTGAAGTGTGGGAGGGGTGTGCACAAAGCCAGGGGCGTGACAGGTGTCCCCTCCATTGGCTTATCCTAAGTCCTCTGAGTGGTTGGGTGCTGGCTTAGCTCGCGTAATTGGGCAGGGCTTTGGGGAGAGAGAATATTAGGAATCGTGATGAGGAATTGTTATCCTAGATGCCAGTGGCAGAGTGGACAGCCAGGGGACTAGACTCTCTGGACAGCGTCGGCAGCCTGCTTCCGGTATGGACCGTGCACACCACCTGCGCCTGGACCAGGGACGCGTCTGCTGAGGACACTGCGCTGGTCCGTTGGCTGACTGCACGCCCACTGGGTCTGTGGCCCAGTGTCTGCCACCACTCCATTCAGGAGGCCACACCGACAAGGCCGTGTGTTGCCCGCCAGCCAGCTCTTTATGTTTGAAGTAACTGGGGGCTGGCATCACTTGACGTGGTGGCTTTGCTTGTTCTCCTGCAGGGCCCCGGGTTCGGGAGTCACCTCGACCGCCTCTCCTTTCCTAGTGACGGATGCAAAGCCTTCATGGTGTTGGCTCCAGGGTCTTGCTCAAAGCAGAGCCCCAGAAGCTGGTACCCACCTTCACTCCCTGTGATGACAGAGCCAGTGGGGGCGGGTCTCGCTTGCCTTCAGATTGCCCTTGCCCGGCCTGGATGCCTGACATCCAAGGATGCAGCAGGGTGGTGGGGACTGCCGGCTGAGATCTTTTGTGCTGCCGCGTCTGCCACCCCAACAGTGGAGCTAGTTGCCTGTAGAGAACAGTTACGTTCTAGGTTCTCCAAGGCCCAGTACAGCCCCAGCTGATTTCCAGGTGCAGGAAGGGACACTCCTTTGTCAAACGTCTACCAGTGGCAGATAAGCGGGGCTTCTGGCTGCAACCGTGGAGAATCCAAGTTGCTTCTTCTCCAAAGGAGAGCGGAGAGGCTGGGCGTCGGGAGGGCCCCCTGCTTCTGAGCTGAGGTAGAGGAGGGACAAGGAGGCTGCTCATCGCATTGCTGGCGTCCACAAGAAGGGAGGGACCCCACTCTCTGACGGCGTGTCTGCTGCCTGCCCCAGCCTGGCGCAGCGCAGAGCCCAGCCTGTGATGGAGGGTCTGGGGGGGTCCCTCGCAGAGGCCACAGTCTCCCCGAGGTCAGGGTCCCTGAGAAGCATTCACGCAGACCCCTGCCATGAGCGGGCTGGCGTCTTGGCCCCACAGAGCGAAGACTAGCTTGGGCTGTGTTGGGCGGAGGGAGAAGGCTTTGTATCATCAGCATAGGGCAGCAAGATGCTGCGCCCTGGGGGCTTGGCTGGAAGACGCGGCTGGGTCTCCTCCCAGGAGGCCTGGGAGGCTCAGAGCGGCTGCTCAGGCCGGAGACCCCGCCGGCACAGCTCGGGCGCCCTCCTCCGTCCCGCTGTCCTATGGGAGAGTAGGACTTCGACCCAGAAGACAACTGACCACGGAGGGAAGAGCTCAGGCCAGCCTCTCTGCTCTGTGGCCCGAGGAGCGGACGCGGGGAAGGGAGGGTGTGGGGAGCGGACCTCTCCTTTTCTGCTTCTGCCCGCCCACCTCTTCCCTGCTCAGCCTTTAGCCACCGCCTTGGCCTGCTTTGCAGAGGGAGGAGTATCTTAGCATCGAATGCGAGATGGAAGAGTTGCATGTCTTAAACCCTTTTCATAGGAGAAATCTCTCAATGTACACACAAGTGGAATAGAGTGAACGGTCATGAATCTGTCGCCCAGTCCAACAGCTGTCAACCTTTTGCCAGTCTTGTCTCTTCTCTCCTTCCCCAACATTTATTAAAAAAATTTTTTGGGGGGACGGGGGCTATTTTTTTTAAATTATTTATGTTTGGCGGTGCTGGCTCTTCGCTGCTGCCTGGGCTTTTCCCTTGTTGCGGCGCTCAGACTTCTCATTGCAGTGGCTTCTCTTGTTGCGGACACGGGCTCTAGGGCATGCAGCCTCCAGTAGCTGGTGGCGTGGCCTCAATAGTTGCAGTTCCCAGGCTCTAGAGCACGGTCTCAGTAGTTGTAGCGCATGGGCTTAGTTGCCCCAAGGCATGTGGGATCTTCCCAGACAAGGGATCAAACTCGTGTCTCCTGCATTGACAAGCAAATTCTTTAGCAATTCCCCACCAGGGAAGCCCCGTGGGGCTATATTTAAAGCAAATCCTAGTCGTGTCATTTTATGTGTAAATAACTCTTGTTTATATTTCTAACACACAAGGGCTTTTTTTTTTTCCTGCAAAACCGTTATGCCATTATTGTTTACAACAAAATTAATATTAATTCCTTACTTAATGTTATGTAACACTAACCATATTTAGATTTCCCTGGTTGTTTCAAAAGGATCATTTCACAGTTGCTTTTCAAATTTCAAATTTATAAACAAGGCCCATATTTTGCATTTGGTGACTGTGTTTATAAATCTCTCTTATTATGTAATTGTTCCCCTAGTGCACCTTCTGTTTCTCTGTCCTAACACTGCTTGATGGTGAAGTAGGTCCATCTGTCCTGTAGAAACTGTCATCACCCTCTTGACTGATTTCTTCCTCATGGTGACATTTAACTTGTTTCCCTATCTCTGGTATTATTATTTGGAAGCTGGCAGGTAGATTTAGAAACTTGACTAGATTCAGGTTCAATGATTTTTAGACAAGGTACTTCATAGTGGTTATTTCAATATTATTAATATTAAATATCATTAATTCTTAATATTATTAATATTTTACTAGCCAAAGGACACTGAAACATTTGAAGATGGACTGAGAATAAAAGTCACTCACTTTCTGGGGGGAGGGGCACAGTGTGCAGTCTGCTGTTACTGGAAAAATAAAGTCATTGGTTATTAATCAGGTCAGTCTGTTAAGGAACAAAAATTCAGCCAGTTAATTTGAAGATCAAATTGGCCTTTCTAAGCTACTCATGAATCAGGCAGCTTCATGTCCAGCAAGTAGAGAGATTCTCCAAGGAGTTGTATGAAATGGTTTTCCTAGGCAGATGGAGGGTGGGGCAAGGAAGTTATTAGCAAAAGTAAGGGTTATTTCAGACCAGGACTACTACTTCTGGGGAAAGGAAATGGCAGGAGTCTTGTCTTGTAGACCATCTCTTTGGTGCAGACAGAGAAACCCCAGATGGGCCGATTGACATCACCTGGGGAAGGTGGGAACTGCAGTTGGGCCAGGTGTGAAGTCTAGGTTTAGTGTCATGGGCTGTAGCACAAATGACTTATGGGGGGGGAGTTGTGTTTCCTGTTTATTTATTCTTGTCTACGGCTGTGCCACACTGAACCTGCCCAGTCTCATCTATTTCTTTATCCTTTCATTTGTTTTAATTTCTTTTATTGAAGTATAGTTGATTTACAGAGTTGTATTTTTTTTCCCATTTATTTGTGTTAGTTTGAGGCTAATTACTTTACAATATTGTAGAGTTGTATTAATTACTGCTGTACACAAAATGATTCAGTTATGCATATATATATTCTTTTAAAAATGCTCCTATTATGATTTATCATAGGATATGGATTACAGTTCCCTGTGTATACAGTAGGACCTTGTTGTTTATCCATTCTCTGTATACTGGTTTGCATCTGCTAATCCCACCTTCCACTCCATCCCTCCCCCAACCCACAGGACCCTTCGCAACCACCCATCTATTCTCTCTCTCTGTTTTGTTTTGATCACGTTCTGTGGTTGTGCTCAGGCTGCGTGTTTGGATGAAGTGGTGGTGGTTTAATCGCTAAGTCATGTCCGACTCTTGTGACCCCACTGACTGTAGCCTGCTGGGCTTCTCTGTCCATGGGATTTGCTGGGTTGGGCTGGGTAGGGAGAGGATGAACCAAATTGACTTCATCTTTTTCACGTCTTGAATCAAAGGAAAACCTCGGAACGGCAGCCATGGGAGTGCACCCTTTTAAACTATCTGCTGGTGGGAGCTCAAACCTTCTTCATTTCATCTTCTGTCCTCTGTGTATTTCTCTTTTAATGTCATTTCCGCAGGTCGTAGCACGTACGGTTTTGACACAGATTGCCTGGGATTGTTTTCTAAATATGATTTTCAGGGCCATAGCATTTTTCTAGAGAAAGGGCACAGTTATATCTCATTCCAGATTGTTTATCTTAACAAGGACAGATGAATAATACTGTCCTCTGTCTTTTATGAACGAACGTCCATGAAAAACTTCAGTGTGAATTGTCACAAGTCTCCCTGATTAGTAAAACATTAAGTTATGTAAATATTTAATAGTCCCTATAAAATTTTAGCATTTTCGACCAATTTACTCCCCTTTGCATAAGAAATGTGCCTTGCAAATCATCCACTCAAAGGGTAGCTTTATTTATATGTAGTTGGGGAAATAGAATTAGTTTGAAATAATTTATTATTATTATTATTATTTTGCTCACAAAGGAAAAGGTTACATTCAGCATTTACATTCTGGGACATGAAGTGATTCTTTTGCTGGTCAAAGAAGCTTTTGTCCATATGATATTTGGACCTTAACCAATCTTAATACTGGTGTCCCAGAAAGGACTCTTGAATCTTACTGCTTTTTGCTTTCTTGACTTCCTGTGTTAACCTGTTCTGAATATTACCGTGATTTTTTTCCCCTTAGACTCAGTGTGAAGCCTAAAATACCACTCTTCTTTCACTGTATCGTATCCTTGAAGAATGACAAGAACAGGAGAAAGTTAATGATGTGGATTTAAAATTTTTTATCCCTTTCATCAGAGGAGATGACATTTTATAGATAGATAAACACTTAGGTCTTTTGGAGGAAGTGACTCTAAAACATTTTAAGGGAAAATATTTACATTTTTGTTGCTGTTGCTGACGTTTTTCCAGTTGACTGGCAGATTTTACTGTTTTCAGTATGAAAAATATGCTTGATGATGAATGAAATTTTGTAGCCATTTAAAATATGCAATTGTGAGATGCCCTATGATAAGTGGTGGAGAGTCAGCTCCAGGGAAAGAATTATGTAATGACTTTTTCATTGATGAAAATGAGGCTGGCAGTTTTAATCTAAATATTTTGAAATGAGTAAATGAATTCAGCTTATCCACTGAAGACATAGAGCATCTTAGAATTCAGAGGTATCATACATTAGCTTTTCAGGTAGCCAGTTCTTGCAGCAGAAAGGGCAGAGGTCCCCTTTCCATCTTGCTGATGGACTGTAGGCTTGCTTGAAAATGGAAAGTCAGTGGCTGAAATAGCCGAGGCCATCTCCCGTGTGCTTTGGCTGTGGAAGCTGAAGTTCATGCCTTTCTCTGTGGCTTTTCAATGTTTTTTTTGTCTTCAAACATTGGTTATTTTTGTCAGGAGTTACTTAAACGATAATGACTTGTTTAGTTGCTGAGTCGGACTCTTTTATATTTAATCATTATCTTAAAACATGTTTAGCACCTTTTTTGTGCACATGACACTTTAGCCACATGAGTTAATGAGAAAGAGGTGGTGGCTGACAGCGACCCTTGCCCTGGTCTGGATTTCTGACTGCTCTCCACTGCCTCCATAGGCACACCAGGCTCACATGAGCAGTCTTTCTCCCGCACTAGTTTCTGTGACTCCCTGACTATTGGGTCTCTAGCTGGGGACCGGCTCACATGAGACAGAGCGTCTAGTGTGTGAGTATCTATGCCTCTCAGAGGGAGGGCTTCTGCAATCACAGGCATCTTTGTACACGCCTTATTACTTCAGGAGGAGTCCTCGGGCTGGCTCGAGCCATGCCCTGAGTCCTTGGGACCCCCCGCTTGCCAAGTTGGTGACGCTCCTCACTTTCGTGCCTGTCCTGAGTACCTCTTGCTCTCCATGGATGTCTGGGTTTTGATTAGGGCTCCTTTGAGATGCTAATGAGGATCAAAATATTATTGAGACAATTAGAACCACTTAAATGTCTGCATTGGGAGAGAGTCCTGTTTTTTGATTGGCTAGACGTTCCTGTCAAGTGTTTAGACATTCATATTATAGCCAACAGCAAAAATACATTTAAAGAACATTGGCTTCTCATAATTGAAGTGATTAAGACAAATATTCATTGTCAATACACAGCCAGTGTTTTTTCTTATTTACCATTTTAATGATGTATAATTTATATAAAGTATCCAAATCTTAAGTGCACATACAGCTCAGTGAAGTTTTACATACAAGTACACCCTCACAGGTCACCACCAAAGAGGCTCCCTGTCCATGCCTCTCTCACACTTAATACCCCCACTCTTATAAATAACTGCTATTCTGTCCTCAGATCCAGTCTAGCATCTTGGGATTAGTTGTGCCCGTTTTTGAGCTTCGTGTGAGTGGCATCATAAGGTCTGTGTTCCTTTGTGTCTGGCTCCTTTCGCCGTGTCTGTGAGATTGATGCCGTGGTTTGTTCTTATTTGTTGCTGTGCAGTGTCTGATGGTAGGAATACCACAGTTTACCATTTCACTGATGATGGACAGTTTGTGCCTGTCATATAATGACTGTTACAGATAAAGCTCTGGTGGATACATCTGTCCTTGAATCACTGGATCCCAGGATCTCTACTTGCCTTGAGAACAACACCCTCAGACAGTTTTCCACATTGTTGGTGTCTGTGTAAACCCCCACCAGCACTGTATTGAGTTCCAGTTGCTCACCATCTTTGTCAATACTTGGTTTTGCCAACAGCTAAGAAAATGCTGTCTCTGATTTAAAAGTATGATTTTTATATCCCCGGACCTCAGGGGGTGCATTTTTGTTAATTCCCTGAATGGTATTACTGAGGGCTTTGTGGTCCCTGAGGGTCTGGGAGAGAATAAAACATAAATCCTATACTCATGGGTCTCCCACATTCCATCGGCGCTGGAGAGAACCGGCCGTCAGCACTGCAGTCCGGATGTCACAGCGCGCTGTGTTCAAGGCTCTCAAACACATCTTGACAGCAGGACTGTGTCCCCTACGTTGTCAAGCGCGTTACACTTGTCTCTGGCGTCTTTTCACTTTTCCTTTCGCACTTTCATTTTGATCTTCCCAGCAGACTCCCAGTGCCAACCCATCTGGCTCACGGTAGCACCGTGTGCTACCTAAAAGTACTCCGTCTTTCTCCTCTACATTGTCAGACTTGATTCCCTAAAATCTTGCGTATGAGTCAGGTAAATTCAGTTTCTTATTAAAATTGGATAATGACTCAGATACGCTACCTCCTCCAAGAAGTATTTTTCTTTTAAAAATAGATCCCAGGAGACATAGTGTCTTAGCTCAAAGGAATTACCATTGATACTTGGATTTCTGATGTTTTCAGGCTAATGGGGAATTTTGAGAAGTCTGTTTTATAAATATCACATTAAGGGAAGCTACCCATTCCACCTACATATAAAGGTAGCTCTAACAGGGGAATAACTAAAAACACAAGGCAGAAATTTCATTTAATTCCCATTTAAGGATGAATTGGCCTCATTATGTATACATTGGTTTGGAACACTTATCCTAAATGGATTGGGATACAGTAGATGGCATAGAATCTCAGATGTGTTGAAATATTATACCTATCTGTAAAATGTCACTTTAGATCTTATTTTTCAATAGAGTTTTCCATAATTGTAAAATTGAAGGACTTAAAGTCTTTTTGTTTTTCATAGTTAATATAGCACTTAGTGGAAATTAAATGTTTCTTTAATGTTTACTCAAAACATGGGATAGTGATAAGAATTCTGGTCTACCATCAGAACCTACCTTGTACCTGTCTGAGCAGAATTCTTAAATAAAGCATCAAGATACCTCTAGGTTTCAAAACCAGTTTTGAACGAGAAGGTATGGTGATAATCATGTCCAATTTATTTTTCTTTCATTTGTTATGACTAAAATCTATGCACACACCTGAGTTACTTTTAGAAAACTCAGCAAACTTGATACCTTTCCTATTATAAATTTTTCACATCTTTTGTTAAACCCATTTTTAGATACTTTATATTTTTGATTATATAGTCTATGGTCAATGGTATCTTTTAAATATTTCATTTTCTAACTCTTTGTGCTGGTATGTGAAATACAGTTTATTTTTACATGCTAAATTTCGTATCCAGCAACTTTGTTAAACTTGTTGATTCTGATATTTTATCTGTGTTTTCTGTTGTATATCTTACATATATAATCACACATCAGTAAATAATGACAATTTTATTTCTTCTTTTCCATCCCTTATAATTTTTATTTCTTTTTCTTGCTTTACTGTGTAGGCTGGGGTCTTGGGTACAGTGTTGAAGAGAGGTGGTGGTGGGCATCTTTACCTTATTCCTGATCCTGAGGGGAAATCTTTCATCCTTTCACTGATAAGTCTGATGCTTGTTGGAGGGGTTTTGTAAACGTTCTTCAAATTAAAGAGGCTGCCTCCTATTGTCAGTTCTTAAGAATTTTCATCCTGTTTGAATGATGAGTTTTATCGCACACCTTGTCTCTACCACACGGTGTCTTTAATGGGAAAACGGCAGTACTGATGACTCACTCATTAAGGTGTGATCTTTTGGGCCTGGCTCAGTGGTAAAGAATCCAGGAAACACGGGTTCGATTCCTGGTCCTAGAAGATCCTCCATACCGCGGAGCAACTGAACCGGATATTCCTGAGCCCGGGAGCCACAACCTCTGACCCCACGTGCTGCAGCCTCTGAAGCCCTGCGCCCGAGAGTGCATGCTCCACATGAGGAGAAGCCGGCGCAATGAGAAGCCCGCCCACGGAAACCACAGTAGCCCCCCGCTCCGCGCGATTGGAGAAAGCCGAATGCAGCAACAAAGACCCATCACAGCCAAAAATAAACAAACAGATAAACAGCAAAGAAAACCACGTGATCTTTTGGATTGTTTATTACTGGGGATGGATTCCAGGCGGATCCTTTCACTCTCTGTCTTGGCTAATTGATGCTGGAAGAGTTGATGTTTGCAGTTGCCTTATGCCTCCTTTTTGTTCTGGTTCTGCTTGGGGCCTGGTTCGTTATCCTCAGAATACATTTTTGGTTTTCGTTTTGTTACTTTTCCTCCATCAGGCCTGCACTAGAGTCTTTTCAATAGAAGCAGTCTTCATGTTCCAGCCCCGTATTTTGCCATGAACCCTAAGGTGACCGTGTGTTTGCGTTGAATCAGAGGAAACTGGAGGAAAAGCAGAACATGGGGGATTGGGAATGTCACCCTCATCCTTCTACGGGCGGCACATTGCTGTGCAAAGGCTCTTGGCACAGTCGAAGTACCTGGGGTCCCCTTGCTGTTGGCATGGGCTCTTGTGTTACCCTCCCTGGATTGAAGTTGGGACTGAAGTCTTCTTGAGCTGTTGTAGCTCTGTGACTCTGTGAATCTGTGAGGGGTTGCCTGCCATCATCTTTTTTCTCACTATCCTTATTACCCTTAGGGGGTCAAGAATTTTAATCCTGTGTTTTCAGGTGGAAAGCTACCTTACAGAGATCAAGTGATTGGCTTCAAATCATAAGGAGAACAGGGCACCATATTCTAGACCTGCCTTGCAAATGGAAATTGAATATATTCAAATTATACTTACTTAAATCCCATGGACTGTAGCCTTGGGTTGGAAGAGTTGGACATGACCTAGTGACTAAACCATCATCACCAAAATGTAAACGCAGAAGGACAGGGAAGCCTGGCATGCTGCAGTCCATGGGGTCGCAAAGAGTTGGACATGACTGAATGAACAACAA